TCCGCGCGGCACGACGAACACGAGTCGACCCTTCACCTCTAACGCCCGTCCTCATTCAGGGGGTGGAGGTGCAGCTCTGCGATTCGCTGCTCACGCCGCCGCTTGCGGGAGAGACTCGAGGCGAGGGAGCTCTGCACGACGGCACGCTGGCCTACTCCTCCACAATGTCCACGCGTCTTGCAGGTGGTGGGGGGTTACCCACGCGTCGTCTCACCGATCAACTGACGGCGGTGGTCGACAGGGTGGCGCAGTGGCAACACTCGCGTCTCACAGCGGACGTGACCTGGGCTTGATTCTGGACACGGGGACCTTTCCTAGTGCAGTTTGATCTCCCCGTGCTTTGCGTGGGTGCTCCGGTTTCCTCTAACACCTGAAACACCCCCCCCCCCCCCAATGCAATGGAACTGATGTTGGCCAGACATCCCAATGACGAAACGAGGACTCAATCGGGATTGCAGAAACTTTGCACCCAAATGCGAGAACTTGACAGGACCCTCCTGAAAAAGAGGATTGAGACTCGGTGAGGCTCTCCTTTGTAAATAACCGAAATACATCATGATGATAATAATAGGTGGATCGAGGTCGTGGCGGCTTAAAAAACATACCCAACGCGTTAACTTCCGAGCCGAGAGATCGAATCTAACCGGCGACCTCAGGATGACAATTCCGGCGTGCTGACCATCACACCGCGAGCAGCAGTATCCCTTACGGGGGTATTCATGTTCGTTTTTTTTTTATATCACCACCCTCCCCCTCCCCCACTGAACTTGTCAGTTGCCTAAAGAAGTTCAATCATAGACGGGGTCCTGTGGAGCACTCGCCGTTAGCGTACAGTACAATCTGTTGCGTGTTCTTAAGTTGTCATAGTTGATGAATGAGCGATTAGGAAATGCCAGCACATTGCTGCACAATCGTGGCGGCCAACCCAGCGAGGGACGCGCAGGTCAGCCGCGATTCTTTGGTTCAAGACGGCGGCTGTTGAATTTGTGTGATGTTTAATAAATACAGGGACCCCATTGAACTCGCGCAGATCAAAAACAACATCTTCCAAGAATTGAGCGGTGCCAATTCTAAAGCAAAGCTGCACGGACGTTGATGGATAACGCGCGACGGTGCTCGGAGTGGACTCAATGCACCGGGGCGAGGCGGAAACGCTCGCCCCGTGCATTTGATGTTGCGCCGAGGGGAGTTTGAGCGATGGCAAATGTTGAGGCAGAGCCGCGAGTGTGCGGAGCCCCACACGGCCCCTGTTTGCCGACCACACACGCGGGGCTTGGCGCCGAGGCCTCGTGGTGTTGGTGCTCAGGGCACAGATGCGTGACACATTCTCAGCGCTTTGCAATCATCGCGTTTCTCATTCATTCGATTCACGGACCCCACGTCAGTTCACGCGAAGGGCATTTCCTTGATGATCTGGATTGGGTGCACTGGCACGGCGAAGGAAGAGCCCAGGAGGAAAAGGTTGCAGGCAACAACAACAACAGCAACAACAACATTCTAGGAAGAATCCAAATTGGAAGAGACCTGATCGATGACTTGAAGAACGGGGGGCTCATGTGAGAGAGCACGAGGTGGGAGAAGGTGGAGGGACCTTGAACCAAGAAACTTCCCTTAGAGAACTTGACAAGAAGAATAAAGAGCGTTGGCAATGAGGCCTGAATTGAAGCGGTGACAGCAAAGCAATTTTTCGTTAAAATAAAAATCCAGTTTTACCATGTGTGTGTGTGTTTATATAGAGTATACGGTTTGGTTTATCTTGGATGCCCTGAATCTCCAAAAAAAAATTAGGAAGTTTCTGTATTGGAAGGTGTGGCATGAGTTAAGTGTTTTTTTGTGTTGAATAAAACGGGTTATGCATCTCTAGGAGAAAGTCCACGCATGTATCAGGAGATGACGCTCCAGACTCCACGCATCCATCGGTCTGTACGACCGACTGCAAGCATCCGTGGCGTTGCTGGAAAGCTCCACCGACAACAATTCCACACAACAAGCACACCTCCGACGGACGGGGAATTAACATTTTTTTAAATCACACAACACGCTGGGTGCCTATTTGGGACTCTAATTATGTCCGTGGTGCAGACTTCATTTCAGAAACTCCAGAATGTAAATGCCCTTCTGTGTCAGCGTGGCTCGCCAGCTCAAGGGACGGCGTTGTCTTTTTGTGTGGTCACGCCGTGAGCTGCAGTGTTAGGGCTTCTACCTGCACTGATTTCCCCAGCAATGCCCTCTCGTTAAGACAGCTGCTGGCCTCGGATATCTGTCAAGTCTTCCCGAGACATTAACGGTCCCAGATTTGGTCAATTGTGCAATAATGAGGTGGCTGTCCTGGGGAATTTGTAAGTATTTTTAAGGACATTGAATGTCCCGGTTTTTATCAGCGGTACAATGGTGTTACAATTGTGTGATACTACTGTAAGTTCGGGTTTTCTGATGCCCATTTAATTGTCCTGCTTTGCAAAAGGTAAGCCCCACAGTTACAGCTTGGCGGACCCAAATCCTTTCGTAAAAAAACAAAACGCATCTGCCAACTTTTATCCCAAAAAATTCCTGACGTTCTTTAAAGGGTCCGCATCTTTCAGAAACGTCAGACTCATCTGCAATATAACGAGGGCACTCGATTCAATACAAGTACGCGCAGCTCTCCTCTCTGGCGGTGCGGCGAGATGTCGTTCTGCCCGCGGTGCTTCCTCGTTTGTGGTGCCCCTCGGGGGTGACCGCCGGAGCGAGGAGCGTGTGGCTCCACGCGGACTGCGCTAGGGACGTGATGGCCGTGCTCGCGCGAGAACAAGAATGCTGTTTGTGAGGACGTTGTTTGTGAGCCTTCTGTTGTTACTTTGTGATGAAGGCTGTCCGAGGCGGGGCATTTAATTTGTGGGTGACCTCTGACAGGGCACGCGGCTGGCTCGGTGTATCACATTGCCCTCCCTTCTTGATCCCCCATTCATCCTGCCCTGACCGCGCGTCCACGCAGTGGCACGCCGATGCGACCCCCCGTTTCCGAACGAGCACCGAGCGACGATCATTATCCGATCGTGGTTCTGCGGCACAGACGAGATTTCCACATCCCTCTGTGGGCGCTCGTTCTGATCATTATAATCGAGGCTTTTCACGAACCGGGCGGCTAACGAGGCGGCCAGTAGATGCCAGTACAAGCAGTTGAGGTGGCAACGCTCTCCGTGCAGATGGTTTCTTGGCGGTGCGTCCACTCAGCTCGGAGATTGTGCGAGCGCTTTTCTCCGGGAACTAAAACAAATCGTCTCCCTCCACACACGCAAAGTGTCCTTAAAACGAGCCGCAGTGAGGCTTCTCTGGCCGTATCAGGAGCTATCTTTTAGGCACTCCTCACTTCCCATCAAGTTGATTGCAGCCTCGCTAGGCGGTGCTCGTTTTAGCAACAACGCAGGTGACGGCGGCGGCGACGAAGATTGTCGTGCAAAGAAGTACACGCAGCCGAACAACGTCAGCCGGAACGCCGACCGATCGACTCGGAGCTGGGAAGCTCCGAGTCGATCCCTCGGGGTTGTCCGCCGCTGCATCGCCACGCGGGGTCAGCGCAGCTTGGTGAAGACGAGGGAGAGCGCACCGCGTGGAGCGAGAGCGGTTTCGCGCCGCGATCGCTGTGCCGTCCGCCACGTGCCTCCTGCTTCGTCAGGCTTTCTAGCAACTGTTTCATGCGGCGCTGGTCGCCCATGCAAGCACGAGCCAGGCTCAATGCCCGCTTAGATTTTTTTGGCGAGGTCCGACGCATTTACCGGGTAAATTGGTCGGAGGCAATTCTACAGAGGGTCGTGGAAATATGAAAAAAAGTGAAGTTTCCCAGTGCAAACGTCCAATGTCTACAATCCAGTGCTGGGCGAGCTGCATTGGCTTCCCGTTGCCGAACGAACTCATTGCAAGGTCGCACTCATTACACACACACAAGGCGCTTGGCACAAATGAACCACAAAACCTCTCGCCGTAAACCATCATCACGCTCACTCCGCTCATCCTCGCAGCAGCAGCTTTTGGCGAAGCCATCGAGCAAAGACGGCGGTCACCGCCACCGCGCGCTTTCAGATGTGCGTCCGCGGCCGTCTGGAACGCTCTTCCTTCCAATATTCGGAAGCCAGTGGAGCGATGCACTTTTAAATCACCATCTAGATTGACAAACTCACTTCTATAGAACTGCTTTTTGTGTTTAGTTTGTTGTCCTCCTCCCGCACCTCCGATTATCACGGTTGGCTACCTACGGTGAAAACAAGTCCAACACACACGCACGTACATTTAATTAGGCTGGCAACACATTTGGCCACGCTGACCAACCCTCCCTCCCTCCCTCGCACCCGCGCCACTTCGCCGGGCACCTCCTCCCCCCTCCTCCTACACCCTCCTCCTCCCTCCTCATCCTCCTCCCTCCTCCTTCCTCCTCCCCCCTCATCCACCCCCTCCTCCCCCCTCCTCCTCCCCCCTCCTCCTCCTCCTCCCTCCTCCTCCCCCCCTCCTCCTCCCCCTCCTCCTCCCCCTCTTCCTCCCCCTCCTCCTCCTCCCTACTCCTCCCCCCTCCTCCTCCTCCTCCCTCCTCCCCCCTCCTCCTCCCCCTCCTCCTCCTCCCTCCTCCTCCTCCCTCCTCCCCCCTCCTCTTCCCCATCCTCCACCCCCCTCCTCCCCCCTGCTCCTCCTCCTCCCCCCTCCTCCTCCCCCCCTCCTCCCACCTCCTCCCCCCTCCTCCTCCCCCTCCCCCCCCCTCCTTCCCCCTCGCCGGGCGGCTTTAAGCGTCTCCTGAGTGCGGGAGAGCTCTCCGTCGTGAAGAGGGAGCGCCCCCCCCCCCCCCCGTCTCCACTTCCCATCGCGGGGAGCGACAAGAAAGGACTCGAGGCCGCGAGGCGAGCGGAGAGCTTGACGGTGCGGAGCGCGCACGCTGTGCAAACAGCCACATCGGCAACAGGTGCGGGGGGGTGGGGGGCGCTTTTAAATGAAGGATTTATAAATATATTTTCGACGGGAAGAGGCGAGAGAGGGGCGGGCGGTGGGGTCGGTGGGAGTGGAGGTTTAAAATCTTCACCTCTAATCTGAGAAGCCGCCAGCAGCGCGACTTGAAGACCAGCAACCGGCGTTTGCTGTCGCCGTGGATTTGCCGCACGATGTCGTGAACTCGCGCTGCTGCGCGCCCGCTCAGATTTGCCGCGTGTCGCTTCGTTGCGAACGAGCGCGCGGGTCCATTGCACGGTGAGCGGAGTGACCACGCGGTGTTTGTGTGTTTGTGTGTGTTTGTGTGTGTATGTGTGTGTTTGTGTGTGTTTGTGTGTGTATTTGTGTGTGTATTTGTATGTGTTTGTCTGTTTGTGTGTGTGTTTGTGTGTGTATGTGTGTGTTTGTGTGTGTGTGTGTTTGTGTGTATGTTTGTGTGTGTGTTTGTTTGTGTGTGTTTGTTTGTGTGTTTGTTTGTGTGTGTGTATTTGTGTGTGTGTGTTTGTGTGTTTCGCTGCACTACGAACCTGGCGACCCGGGTTCGATTCTCGCTCACGGCAAATACCAGTGACGATTATCTGAACCGGTCCTGGGCCTCCCCTAGGTCGACTCAGCCTCAAATGAGTACCTGGTGCGATGTGTAAACATCGCCACTAGGGAGACAAAGGCGGCCGGGCGTGGTGTTGGCCACCCACCCCCTCGTGTGCCGTGCTGGCCTTCATAGGTGCTCGCTAACAGCACTTGCCCCTACAGTCTGTTAAGGCTATGCGGGGCATCTTTGTCTTTGTGTGTTTACAGAAGAGGGGTGACCGCTCGCACACTGTGATAGACATCATCTGAACCGGCCCTGGGCCTCCCGTTGCTCGAATCGGTCTCAAATCTCGAGTACTTGGCGCGGTTTGTGAACGTCGCCACCCGGGGGAGACAAAGGCGGCCGGGCGTGGTGGTGCTGAGCACCCCGCCCCCTCGTGTGCCGTGCCGGCCTTCGTAGGTCCTGCTCGCTAACAGCACTTGCCCTAACAGCCGGCGAAGGCTCCACGGGGGATCTTTGTCTGTGTCGTTCACGAGTGGGGTGCTGCTCTAGCGGTACCGCTCCGCGCCGTGACCCCCGGCGACCCCAGTTGGATCCCCGCTCACGGCTACCGTCAGTGGCGCGTGACATCTGAACCCGTGTTATCGATCCGCCCGCACTTCCCATCGTGATCAACGCGCAGTGGCCAGAGCGGTCAAGTCTGGGGAGACAATCAGCATGGCCGGGTTTACAAAGGGCTCTGAATTGGTTTTTTTTGTGGTCGGTGGTTGTGGTTGGTGGTCGTGGTTGGTGGTCGTGTTTGGTGGTTGTGGTTGGTGGTTGGTGGTTGTGTTTGGTGGTTGTGGTTGGTGGCGCCGTTGGACACGCACACAGATGTCAGGGGTCTCTGTCTCCTCGTTGCCGTGCAGGTGACTGCCGACTTCGCTCGCCCATCCGTTGGAGGGTTCCGATCCAAGAAGGTAACAGCGATACCCACATCTACGTCTCACCCCCACCCCCACCTTGTTTAACGTCGTTTCGCAACGACGTCGTCACTTCGTACCCGCGAGTTGCGTCGTCTGGACCCCTCGCTCGCGTCCGTTGCCACTCAGCCGTCGCCTCCACCACCCACACGCCGCAGCCTCCACGTCGGCCCTGACCCGTTCAACACGTCGCTGGCTTTCGCGACCAATATCATCCATAACAGAGGAGGGTTTTTTTTGTTAGATCGCGTAATTGACGCCGTTTCATTTCGACGCCGTTTCGAGATTCGTCGTCGCGTATTTCAGGAACGCAACCCCCGGCGTAAAGCGGGGCGTGATCGCCGTGCGAGGGTGGGCAGCGTGAGTGCCGTGCGAGGGTGGGCAGCGTGAGTGCCGTGTGAGGGTGGGCAGCGTGAGTGCCGTGCGAGGGTGGGCAGCGTGAGTGCCGTGCGAGGGTGGGCAGCGTGAGCGCCGTGCGAGGTTGGGCAGCGTGAGTGCCGTGGGAGGTTGGGCAGCGTGAGTGCCGTGCGAGGTTGGGCAGCGTGAGTGCCGTGCGAGGGTGGGCAGCGTGAGCGCCGTGCGAGGCCGTCTCGCTGAGCGTGCCGCCGCTGCGTTCCCAGCGGCGCGCAGTCAGTGGATTAGTGGTGCACAATTAAACCGTGTGCGCGACACGTTCGTACACATCGACACCGCGGCCTTGAAAGGGAACATACTTTTTTTCTGTATCTAATGGGCGACGTTTCGGGTGAGATGGCCCTTTTCCATAGCACACGCATCAATTCGTCGTGCTGTATATGAATCAACGTTTCAATGAGATAATCGTAGCCTCCGGCGGGTTTGTGCATTTCTGTTTAATTCGTGTTTAGTTCGACCAACGTCTCCGCTCCGGAGAGTGAGCGACCCGAGCTGAGCTTTTGATGACAATTCAACTTTTTGTCGGGGATCGGGAGGGGGGGGGTGCCGAGGGGGGGGGGGGCGGCTACTATCATGACAACCGACACCATTCACTTCATGAATTAGAACCTTTCATTTTCATCAAACTGCCGGGCGAGATATTTTTTGTTCGTAACTCTCAGAGATGATCATCAAGGCCGAGGCACTGCGCCACCCACGCTGCTTTGACTCACTCAGTGCCCGGTGTCTCCCAGGACAAAGAACTTCCACATTACTATGGCTGAGGACCGGTCTGTACGTACAAGAAATAACGCTAATAATGTTAATTTTAACTTGCTTTTTTCGTGCTTATGGCGAAAACTTTTTTACTAAACTCTCTTTTTTTATTTTACCAGCTAAGGCCCACTCAGCTATACAGCAATTTTTCATAAGCCAGCTGGTTATCACAAATGAAAGCTCAACGAAGTGGCTTATCGTCATGTGATGTTGAATCTAATTGCGGAGGAAAAACCCGGAGTACCCGGAGATAAATCCACGCGACCACGGGGAGAGAGACACGCAAAGTCCAAATACACAGCAGGCGTCAGGGACGGGATCGAACCCACGACCTCCTGTGTGCCAGGCGAGGAAGTTAACATATTTTAGCCACCGTGGCGCCCCAAGTTAACTTGATACGTGCCACTGCGTAGGATTCGCACTCTCGCAGTCAGGCAGTGAGCAAGCAGACAACAATTGGCCAAGCTCTGCGGTGCTCTACATATGAAGGTGGTGTCGAGCGGGGAGCACCCAGAGCCACCCCAGCAGGCGGGGTAACACGATCTCCTGGCAAGTCGGGGTCACGGTACCGCAGCGCCCACGGCTTTGTGAGTCGAGCGAGCTGCGTGTGATCCACCATCCTCCTCCTCCTCCACAGTGCCGCATCACGGCACGGGCCACGCTCACAGACACCAACCCCCCCCCCCCCCCCCCCGGCTCTTGACTGTCCAAGGAGTGCACCGCGTTCCACTTGTGAGGGTCACTCGCCGTCAGCTGCTCTCTGTCCACTGCTGGATGAAGGCGATGCCACGATCCATCTCGCGGGGGTAGATTAACTCATCTCATCGCTCCTCATCCGTGCTTTCTCCTTCAGCTGCTGCTGATCTCTCTCTCAGCTGTCTCGTCCATCTAGCGAGTGTGTCACTGTTATTGACAGTCATTGTCTCTGACTTACATTTGTCCCTCGATCCACGAGTTTCTCTTTCCACCTCTCCATGCTTCTTTGCGCATCTTTCCGATGTCGTTCTCTCGTCTCTGGCCCACGATGTCACGAGTGCTGGCAGTGGAACACTTAACTGATGCAACAACAACAAATCCATCTTTACGACACTTTGGTAAACTGCGTTTTTATTGTCAAACTATAAAAACGCATCATCTTCATCGGCCGTGATCCATCCACTGCTGGATGAAGGACTCCCCAAGCCGCCACTATCCCTCGCGGTCCTGCGACCTGGCGGCTTGTTCCGGGCGGCGACACGCGAGTTAATGTCACCGCTCCGTCTCCTGCGGTGGGCGTGCTCTCTAATCAACCACCCTTATCAGACGCAGTGCTTCTGCCGTCTTGTAATGGTTCGCACGATGTGGACTTTGCGATCCAGAGGTCGCTGATTTGATCTCCGAGCACTGCGGCAGTTTCAACAATTGGTCTTTTTTTTTTGTAACGACACCGCTCCGGTCGATCAGCAGGTAGCGTGGGGTCAGCTTCACGTGTGGGTCACTGCCGCCTCATCCAAGACCCCTGGGCATCGTGGAAGAGGAGGCCTAGCCGCCGGTGCTCCCTCTCGTGGCTGTATTCGTCTCGTTTGCTCTGGCGACCGGGAGATCGATTAATTATAATCGATGTTCGGTTGCCGCGTTGATGGCATTCCTCGTGATTTTATCACTTTAACAGAGTTTTTCCCTTTTTTTCTGGCAACAAAACTGACACCTTTTGCAAAGAATCATGCTTACATTAACCACAATACTTGCAGTCAAACGCAAACAAAAAACAATACTCTGATAATTTATGCATTGTACTTGAAACTGATTGGTCCACACCAGAGACAGCTTTCTTTAGAGCCTAGTCTCATATGGTGTTCGACCAGATGACGCCAAAAGGCGCACAGTTCAAAGACTGCAAGTATTGTGGTTAATGTAAGCATGATTCCTTGCTAAAGGTGTCAGTTTTGTTGCCAGATAAAAATGGGAAAACCCCTATTAGTATACTCAAGGCCGCTGTCAAACGCGCGCGTGCGATGCGCGTTGATGCCCTCTCCTCCCCACCGCTCGGACCCCGCAGGCAGAGGAGGCGGGCGGGCGGGCTCGCGGGACGCCAATGGCTCGCGTGTGCGACCTGCAGCTGGTGGGGCTGGCCGTGAGCGTGTGCGGCTGGCTCCTCGCCTGCGTCACCACGGTGCTGCCCCACTGGCAGTCGCTCAACTCGGACATCGCGCCGCTCGCCGAGAACTTTCTCATCGGCCTCTGGGGCTCGTGCGTCGACCAAGGGGACAACATCCAGTGCCGGGACTACGAGTCGCTCATGGACCTCATCCCGACGCTGCAGATGGCGCGCATCCTCATGTGCGCCGCCGACGTGCTCGGCCTGGTGGGCACGCTGCTCACGGCGCTCGGCATGAAGTGCACCACCTTCCTCGGCGGTCGCGGCAACACGACGCACAAGCGCGCCGCCTCGCTGGCCGGCGCGCTGGCCTTCCTCGTCGCCAGCGCCGCCGTGATGGCTCCCGTGTGCACGGTGGCCATGGACACGGTGGCGCTCTTCTTCGACGAGAACATTCCGGACTACGTGCCGCGCTGGGAGTTCGGCGAGGCGCTCTTCGCCGGCTGGATGGCCTCCTTCCTGCTGTTCGCGGGCGGCCTCGCGCTCGCCGTGGCCGCGTGTCTGGCCAAGCGCCCGGGCCACGGGCCGTCCGCACGCTCCATGCGTCGCATCGCACGGCCCCTGCCGCCCGCCGAGTCGCCCGGAGCGGGCGACCTCTTTAAGCAGCAGCAGCAGCTGCAGCAGCTGCGACGCGTCGAGATGTCCGAATTGCAGACTGGTGCCGCAGCGAGACCTCGCGTCGCCCAAGACCTCCTTCAGTTCGTCGTCGTCGTCGACGAGAAAAGCCAAAGTCAACTTCCTCGACGCGAACGCCCCCAACGGACGCGCCGTCAGCGTCTACGTGTGACGGAGCTCGTCCCGGCTGTGAGCAGAGCTCCACGTGGCGATCTTTACTTCTTCTGATGACCACGTCCCATTAGCCCCCCCCCCTCCCCACACCACCATCTCCCCCCATTGCAGGGCCTTCCCGTCAACGAGCTGCGAGACTCGTTGAGGCTTTCCTGCAACAAACATAAATAAATAATGTCGTTATCATTGTTACTTTATTATTATTAATACGTGCCGTTAATACGTTTGACTATATCCGCAGCGCGATTGGAGAGCTCTCAAAGCAAGATGTTGAGTGAGGGGGGCGTGAATGGGACGGGGCTGTGAGTGAACTCAAAGTGGATGTGGTCTGAAAAAAATGTTAGCAGTCACATAATCGGGGCTGTCACAAGACACAAGACATCTGGACCAGGCTGTACAAGCCTCTCGTTCTCTGGTCGTGCGTTGCGTCAACCCGCTGCTGGCTATGTCACGGCTATTTGACCACACACCACCACACTCGTCAAGTAGCAGTAGGTGGATGCGTTGACGGCTGCGTACAGCGCGAAAGAAGTTTAACACGCAGAGCATAAGAATGATGATTTATGGATTCCCCTGCGCTGCCCTCTATTGCTGACAACGTCGACCGCACAGTTCTTCGGGGCACGGCAACGGTCACCACCCATCCGAGCGCACTCCAGGCTCAAACCTGCTTAGCTTAGCTCCCGAGTGATTTGGTCATCGGGCAGTACGACTGTGTGACGTCACGCCATGCATGTGTGACGTGTCAATCCCGTGCGGGCATGCCGGGTTATGTCACGTGCATGGCGCTTGCAATGCACTCGCCCTCACATTAAGTCTCCGCACGCTGCACGCACCTGATGATTGATAAATATGACGCCCCTTCGTTGATTAATTTGAATCAGCGGTGTCTACGTCACGTGGTAGAAAGACTATACCGATTGATGGCACGTGGTGCGGATCGCTCGCTGTTAGTTTCTACCGGGACCAGGATGGTTAAGCCGGAGCTTGATGTAATCCATACCTGTCTGGGGCTGAGCTCTTGCAAATATCACACCACCACCACCGCCGCCGCCGCGCCCCTCCACACTGTTCGAGGTGGGCAGGGTCTGGGAGGGTTTGGAGGTAGGACGGCCACATACAATCATTCGTGAGATATCGAGTCCCGACGATAACGTCTCCTTGGCAAATCGAGACATTTCGTGCCACCGTCACATCACGGTTTGTACGGATGCTGTTCATGGTGGACCGTGAGCTTCGTGGAAGATCGAAGCCAGGGATTTTCTGTGTTGGGTGTTTGTGAGTTATTTTGAACTCCTGTCAGCTCTGCAATAGCAGAATATGCATACTATTGCATAATTCATATCCTGCATAGAGTGCCCGGCCCTCTCTCGAGACTGGCCTTGACCTAAAGAGGGCCCAGGCCTTGGCCTCGCTTCGCCTTGGCAGCTTTTGTCCTCGACCACGTTCCCAGCCTCATGGCCCCCGACATCGAGATTCAAGACTGAGCGATCCACACCACAGTCTCAGAGATGGTGCGATGAAGACAACACATCACAGGTGTGATGCGACTTCACGTTTGCAAATGTGTAGCAAAAGAGATATCTGGAAAGCTGGTATCGGTCATTGAAGGTTTGCAGCGAAATAATTCGTTCATGATGATCTAATATATCACCATCTACATAAATTCTCACCTCCAAAACTATGAATAAACGTCCCTTCTTGCGAAGGCAGACACGTGGATTCAAGCCAAATGTATGCTGGAGGGGTGACTTGGGCTAAAAGTAATGCACTTGGGTATAAGGTAACCAAAAGCTTTTGGGACATGTAGAGCTCTTTGAGCAGAATGATTTTCTTGATGGCATGGACGTTGATGGAAAAGAAAGGAGCTCCCATATCTGTTTAGCTTGACAAGTCAGGCGATTAGTTACCATAACCAATATTCATCTTCTTGGTTCTTTCGGTAAAGTCACGTAGAAGGTAAATAATAAAAATAAAACATAATAAAATAATCCCTGCAGTCACAAAAGCTTTAAATCGAAATATAACCAATATTGATAGATACTTTAAGTATAGCTTTCCCAAATTGGAACGACCGATGCGGGGGATCAGTTGAGTGGAGTCGCAATGAAAGGAAACTGTCTGGGCTTTGTTGAAATTCTTGTTTGTAACGAGGTGAATTTATATTCAAGGACATCCTAATGGGTTATTTTCTACGAATGCACACTTAGCGAGGACCTACAGCTGTTCTCAAGAATACATTTTTCAGACGATAATATTCTTGTTCCCAAAGAAAAACGAAAATTGTCACTACGGATTGTGAAACAATCTCTCGGACCAGATCCACCTGCAATGCACGTGATTTGATTTCGCCAGATCTCAGAACCGAAGCGGGCGTTGAGCTGAACGCCAACCGTGCGCAGGCAGGTCGTCAGCAGTGGAGAGCTCTGGCAGCAACATCCACAAGGCTACACTCGACTTCTGAGCTCCCACGTCGATGCTCCCCCCGCCTCCATCCGCCCGCATTGACCAGCGTGGTGAAGTATGGTTAAAGAAAGTAACCCCATGACCCAGACGGCGCGGGATAGTTTTCATTCAGCAGTGGATTGACACAGGAGCTGCACGCGTGCACAATGTGACTATCTGCGCAATGAACCCGAGAGCTGAGCTCAAATCCCGGACAAGGCTAACATCAGCGGCGAGCCGATACCGGAACCGGTCCTGGGCGCACACGTCACCAAAGCCCGCACGACCCAGTGTGGTGAGGTATGGTCAAAACATCTCCCATGAATTCTACGCATTGGGGAGGCCTTCATCCCAGCAGTGAGGTGACAAAGGGCACGTAACATTAGTTACCGTATGAAACATTCAAATGTTGGTCGAATGTTAATTGAATCACAACGCACACACATTCCCGGCCCAGAGGTAAACACTCATCTTGCAGTCATGAACTTAAAGATGCCTCAGTCTAACTAATTTACCAAGTGAAGTCCACTGAGCTATACGCTGTAGCTTATTTTTCAAAAGTGGCCTGGCCACAAATGATATCTCAACGAAGTGGCTTATCATGTGGAATTTTTCAGCAGCCATATATACTCTAAACGCGTGATGTTGATTCTAAATGTGGAGGGGAAACCTCGGAGGAGCCGGAGACATCCACACGACCACGGGGAGAGAGAGAGACACGAAAACTCCAAATATACAGCAGCAGGCGTCAGGGTCGGGATCGAACCCACGACCTCCTGTGTACCAGGCGAGGTAGTTAACATCTCCTAGCCACCGTGATGATGAGAGAGAGACACAGACCTCCTGTATACCAGGCGAGGTAGTTAACATCTCCTAGCCATCGTGGCGCCCAGCCCTCTGTGCTCGATAGTTATTTCCGTTAATTTACAACAGGGTAGCAGCTCCAACAACCCAGATATGTTTATTGTTTTAAAATACTGTACTGTACTATGAGTGGATTGTGTGTTATGTTAAACTCTGATCCAAAACGGTGATTTTCAAAATACTTGAATCAATAAAAATAATGTTTCAAATGGACTATGGCGTACCAGTGCAGATTATGATTATTTGTCCACAAATCTTTAGTAATTCATCGTCACCACCACCACCCGCCCTCCCCCTTCCAGGGCTGTCATGCGTTCCACAGTCCAAAGCAGGAGCAGGAGAAATGTCTCGGTCAGCCGAGGTCGATTATCAAAACTGCACAGTGATACCGTAATAAAGTCCAACACAATATCGGTGCCAGGTCTCTTCAAACCCGAACACACTGGTGGCAAAACTGGCCCCCTGTCCCGATGATTCACGGTTGAAATTCAACATTCTTATTATGAACATGTTGATGAATGTAGCGGCCACTCGTGGCTGCAGGAGTCATAGAGCTTCATTGGATATTCACACCGTGAGATATCCCCATTAGACATTCACCCTCCCCTCCCCCCACCATCAGATATTCAAATGTGACTAAATTACAACAGAAGCGACACAGTGATAGGCGACTGTGAACCGGTTTTATTTTTTTGTGAGTCATCAGCACAGAATTGTCACCAATGTCCACCGCTGCAGAGTCTGCCTCTGGAAACCACACACGTGGAGGCCCGACGTCCACTCATTCCACAGACAGAGACGCACGTGGCGATCATCACAGTTGTAAGAGACTAGAGCATGTCGTGCTGTTAGTCAGCGCCTATTGAGGCCTGCACAGTTCGCGTGGGGATCTAAGACCCCGCAGCCGATCTCCTTAGTGTCCCCAGTCCTCACGTGCACAGACCACACCAGGCAGTCCGTAAAGGCTGATTTAACCCAAAGATGCCCAGGACCATTTCGATATCACTCAGCACCGCCCTTAGCCATGTTTGGGAATTTAACCCAGGTCACCGGGTTCTTAGCACAACGCGAGATCCACTTTGCCACCACTTCCAACACATAACACATCAAAAGCCGCGACTCGCCGCTAAGTGACGGTGACTTCACAACAGTGCTGTGCCAGGCTAGGTGGACCCTGAGGTCACGTGAAGAGTCGAAGGCTGGCTGGCAGGTGCCATGGGTTGACTGAGATGACGAGGAGATGCACCAGCTGTGCCCCAGCATGTGCCAGCTTACCCCATCCCTCAAAAACAAAGATCCCCCGTATAGGCTTACCATACCGTTGGGGAAAGTGCTGTTAGCCAGCACCTATGAAGGCCGGAGCAGCACACGAGGGGGTGGGTGTCCAACACTACGCTAGGCCGCCTTCCCAGTGGCGATGTTAACACATCGCACCAGGTACTCATTTGAGGCTGAGTCGACCTAGGGGAGGCCCAGAACCGATTCAGATATTCGCCACTGTTATTGTCCGTGAGCGGCAATCGAACTCACAATGCCGGGGAAAACATCGGTGCACACACAGGCGCCACAACACGTTCCCACCCCGTGTCGGCAGCCTCGTGCATTGCGGTAAAGTCCACCGCCAGGTGCTCCCCGCTGACGTGGGAGGGAGGGCGCGAGGAAGGGGTCATTCCAAAGAGCTCGGGGTCAACCGAGCCGGGAGTTCTGGCCCCCATCCAGCCCCCCCCCCATCCCTCCTCTCGAACGCCGCTGACGCTGCTGCTGCTGCACACCGAGCGCGCGTGTTGCTGCGTGACAAGTTGGAGGGAGCAGTAGATGAAGATGTCTTCTCCTTGTCCCGTCAGCATTCCTGCGACCTGTCCTCTTGCCGCGACCGCTCGGCTCGGGACAATGGATTCATATCCCCCAAATTAAAAAGATGTGGGCAATCCGAGGAGAGGTTGGGTCGTTCTGCCTGAACGACGGATCTCCTTACAGCGCCTCGTCTCATTTCCTGGTAAATTTTCTCATTATCTCGTCGTCCGTAGACAGCTGTGAAATCTGAGGTTGCGCTGCCGATAGCATCTGGGTCCCCCCCGCCTTCCCCTCTTCCTCACCCCCCACCGCCCTCCCTCCCTCCCTCCCACCTTGATGCCGTGTGAGTCTCATCCATGCGGAGAGCGAGGGACACGTGTGCACACCGCTAAGCGACGCACGCGGGGAGGCTCGAGGTCGGAGTCGAGGCACCAGTGGCCTTCGATGGAAGCGCCGTTCGCGACGCGCGGCCCACGTGGCCGACCTCGAGCCCGAGACAGTTTAGCGACGCACTTGAAGCGGCCGCGTTGTTAGTCCCAGTGGCGTGCGCTGAGTGAGTGTGAGATCAGTGCGGTGAGCGCTGAGTGTGAGTGAGATCAGGGCGGTGAGCGCTGTGTGAGAGTGAGATCAGTGCGGTGAGCGGTGAGTGTGAGATCAGAGCGCTGAGTGTGAGTGTGAGATCAGTGCGGTGAGCGGTGAGTGTGAGATCAGAGCGCTGAGTGTGAGTGTGAGATCAGTGCGGTGAGCGGTGAGTGTGAGATCAGAGCGCTGAGTGTGAGTGTGAGATCAGTGCGGTGAGCGGTGAGTGTGAGATCAGAGCGCTGAGTGTGAGTGTGAGATCAGTGCGGTGAGTGGTGAGTGTGAGATCAGAGCGCTGAGTGTGAGTGTGAGATCAGTGCGGTGAGCGGTGAGTGTGAGATCAGAGCGCTGAGTGTGAGTGTGAGATCAGTGCGGTGAGTGGTGAGTGTGAGATCAGAGCGCTGAGTGTGAGTGTGAGATCAGTGCGGTGAGTGGTGAGTGTGAGATCAGAGCGCTGAGTGTGAGTGTGAGATCAGTGCGGTGAGCGGTGAGTGTGAGATCAGAGCGCTGAGTGTGAGTGTGAGATCAGTGCGGTGAGCGGTGAGTGTGAGATCAGAGCGCTGAGTGTGAGTGTGAGATCAGAGCGATGAGCGCTGAGTGTGAGATCAGAGCGGTGAGTGTGAGTGTGAGATCAGCGCGGTGAGCACTGAGTGAGTGTGAGCTCAGAGCGGTGAGCGCTGAGTGTGAGATCAGAGCGGTGAGTGTGAGTGTGAGATCAGAGCGATGAGCGCTGAGTGTGAGATCAGAGCGGTGAGTGTGAGTGTGAGATCAGTGCGGTGAGCGCTGAGTGTGAGATCAGAGCGGTGAGTGTGAGTGTGAGATCAGCGCGGTGAGCACTGAGTGAGTGTGAGCTCAGAGCGGTGAGCGCTGAGTGTGAGATCAGAGCGGTGAGTGTGAGTGTGAGATCAGAGCGATGAGCGCTGAGTGTGAGATCAGTGCAGTGAGCGCTGAGTGAGTGTGAGATCAGTGCAGTGAGCGCTGCGCTATGAACCCGGCCACCCGGGTTCGATTCCCGCTCACGGCCAACACCATTGACGATTATCTGAACCGGTCCTGGGCCTCCCCTAGGTCGACTCAGCCTCAAATGAGTACCTGGTGCGGTGTGTAGTTAACATCGCCACTGCGGAGACAAAGGCGGTCGGGCGTGACAAGTGGATCTCATTCTGCTCTGTCGGGTGTGGGTGGAGGCTTCGAGATGAAAGTTGGCGTCGTTCGTTTTCTCTGCAACGACCTGCCTCAAGACACACCGATTACGAATCGTGTGGACAAAGCGCACAGCCGTCGTGCTTTGTGATTTCGATGCACGTTTTGTGTAGGTTGTTCTTGTTGTTGTTTGAAACTTACGGCTTTTTCCAGCCGGACACTTCTACTATTATCATCATTGCTACTACAATCCCGTGACGTTCATGGCTTTCTCTCGTCACGAACAGATTTGCAAGCCCCCCCCCCCTTTCTCGCCCCTCTGCAGGGCGAGGGCTGGGGAGGGGGTGGGGGCTCGTTCCGTCATACTTCACCACGCTGGTCGCTGCGGATACGACGCTGAATCGACTCCACGTGCGATCTGTATCCCCCCGCGTGGCCTGGCGTGGCCCTTTCGCTCGCCCGTCACGGCTCTCCCCGGCAGAGCGTCCCCGTGCACACCCACGACACTTGGGCCCCTGACCCCTGACCCCCCCCCCCCACGGGGACACTGAGACGCTGCCTCAGCCCGCGAGCCCCGCGGGTCGCCGCCCACTGCCGGCGCGACACCGTCGGCAGCTGGGAACCCGCGCGTGAACCTCACCTGGGGCGCGTGAACCTCACCTGGGGCGCGTGCACCTCACCTGGGGCGCGTGCACCTCACCTGGGGCGCGTGCACCTCACCTGGGGCGCGTGCACCTCACCTGGGGCGCGTGCACCTCACCTGGGGCGCGTGCACCTCACCTGGGGCGCGTGCACCTCACCTGGGGCGCGTGAGCCTCACCTGGGGCGCGTGCACCTCACCTGGGGCGCGTGAACCTCACCTGGGGCGCGTGCACCTCACCTGGGGCGCGTGCACCTCACCTGGGGCGCGTGCACCTCACCTGGGGCGCGTGAACCTCACCTGGGGCGCGTGAGCCTCACCTGGGGCGCGTGAACCTCACCTGGGGCGCGTGAACCTCACCTGGGGCGCGTGCACCTCACCTGGGGCGCGTGAACCTCACCTGGGGCGCGTGCACCTCACCTGGGGCGCGTGAACCTCACCTGGGGCGCGTGCACCTCACCTGGGGCGCGTGAACCTCACCTGGGGCGCGTGCACCTCACCTGGGGCGCGTGAACCTCACCTGGGGCGCGTGCACCTCACCTGGGGCGCGTGAACCTCACTTGGGGCGCGTGCACCTCACCTGGGGCGCGTGCACCTCACCTGGGGCGCGTGAACCTCACCTGGGGCGCGTGCACCTCACCTGGGGCACGCGGCGACTCGAGGGAGTTTGATCGACGACGAAGATGGGCACCGGCGGTGGGGGGGGGGGGGCTAGGTGGGGGGGCTAAGGGAGGGGAATAAGAAGGGGAGATTAGGGGGGCGGTATAAGGAGGGGGGGTAAGGAGGGGTGGGCTGGATAAGAGGGGGGAGGGCTCTTAGGGGGGTGTAAGGGGGAGGGGGGAGGGGGGGCAGTGTTTGCGAGTGTAAGAGGCGAGGTGCATGGTACCCACGGTGCAGTTGCCACCCACGGCTCACGTCAGTGGCGAGTGCTATCTGAACCGGCCCTGGGCCTCCCTGACCCGCACTGACCGGCGTGGTGAAGTATGGTCAACAGCAGTGTGTTATTAATGAAGGGCTTTAACGTTGTTATTTTTTTCGATACAATCGATTGCTATCG